AGATAATGATAGAAATACTGGCTGAAGCTTTGGAAATAACTCAAGAGAAGATGATGGATGGAATAGATGAGGTTTATCGAGTTTTCACAAGATATGCGATGAGAAATAGCTTACCAAGAGAAGTTCACATTAGATTTACAAAGAAAGCCATTAAAACGCAAATGTTGCAAGTGGCAAAAGAAATATATTGAAATATAAAGACAAGGAGATTGTGGTCTTGAAACAAATACCCAGAAGAGTGAGAGAGATGAGAAGAGAATACCGATTCCTGACTAAAATGCTACTTAAAAAAGAGGTGAATTATAGATGGCTGATTCCAGAAGGTTTAATGTTCACATGGCAAGAACAGAGACATAGAATTGACTCAATTGAGAAAGCTGAATCATTTTATACAGAATTTTTTGGAGGGAAAGAGGAAGAGACAGAAAAAGAAATCTCACTAATTGAATTCCAAGAGGACTGCCAAATGGCGATTGAAAAAAAAGAAGGTGCAGTAGGTGGAAAGGTGGAAGCCAAAGAACAACGTGAACTAAGATCTACGAGAGCTGCTAAACCTAACTACAAAATATAACCATGGAAGAGAAAAAACTGATTACAATTAATATAAATGGACTTAACTCAGCCATTAAAAGAAGGAAAAACTTTCATAACTTAGAGAAATTAAAATTTGATATAATTTGTCTACAAGAAGTACATATTAAAAAACAATATGAACAATTGTTGATACAGCCAAAACTAGGGAAAATATTTACTTCCTTGACACAATGTAAGAAAAGAGGAGTGGTTTTACATATTAAAGAGACCATCCCAGCGAAATTGATTTATACCGATGATGACGGAAGAATACTAATGGTGGAAATAATGGACAATAATACGAAAACACTCCTGATTGCAATCTATGCCCCGAATGACAAACAAGAAGAATTCTACAAAAAATTACATATGAAAATAGTTGAACTGGACTATGTTAATATAATTATGATGGGAGATTTTAATGGAATTGTAGACAATAAATTGGACTATACAGCACAGAAAACAATAAAGCAAAACAGAGAGACTCTCCCTAAATCTTTTTTTAAAATGGTAGATGAAATAAACTTAAAAGATACACGGAGAGAAAGAAATGCTAAAACTAAACAATACACCTTCTATTCAAATAGACACTTATCATAGTCCAGAATAGATATGATATGGATGTCCACAGAATTGTTAACTAATATTCAAGAAATAAATATTGAAACAAGTACTTGGGCAGATCACAATCCAATGACAATTAAATGGAAAGGACAAAAAAGATCTAAATGGACGTTAAATAATACTATTTTAAAGGAAAAAGACTTCATACAGTGGATGGAGAAAGAATTGGCTTTTTTCTTTAGGGAAAACAAAAAAGAAGATACATCAATTCAGAATGTATGGGATGCAATGAAGGCATATGTTAGAGACTTGATAATAAACTATACAAGGAAAAGAAATACTATGAAAAGATTAGCCTCTAAGGCCTTAGAGGATGAGTATAAAAGACTTGAAAAAGAGCTACAGAAAATGCCACAGAAAAAGGACATCAAGCTAAAAATGGATAGTTAAACATAAATGGGTCAAATAGAAAAGAATTAGCACAGAAAATTAGAGGTGCTAAACAGAACTACTTTGAAGACGCAAACAAACCAGGTAGATGGTTAGCATATAAATTGAGAAAGGAGAAAGAATCAAGGAAAATATTGCAATTAATAGATGACCAAGACCAAGTTTGCTATGGTAGTAAAGAGAAGAAGGAAATCATTCGACACTTCTATGGGAAACTATATATGTAAGAGAATATTGATGAGGAAAGAGTTAAACAGTACTTACAGAATGCTAATTTACCTCAGATACCTAAAGAGATTGAAACAATGTTAGAAAGCAATATAACGATGATGGAGTTAACTGAAGCACTCAAGAAGCAAAATAATGGAAAGGCACCAGGCCCAGATGGACTTCCGGCAGAATTTTACAAAACATTACAAGAATCGTTGAATCTTCCATTGCTAGAAGTTATGAATGAAGTTATGTTAAAGAAGAAGATACCTAAATCATGGTCAGAAGCCTATATTACACTTATTCCAAAAGAGGAGGCCGATCTATTGCAAATTAAGAACTATAGACCTATTTCTCTACTAAATGTAGATTATAAAATCTTTGCTTCAATATTGGCAGAAAGACTTAAAAAATATCTAAATAATTTTATTCATCCTGATCAAAATGGATTTCTGCCAAAGAGACAAATTAAAGATAATATGAGAGTAATCTTGGACACCTTGGAATACTACAAGGCACATCTTGAAAAACAAATGGCTCTGATATTTCTAGATGCACAGAAGGCATTTGATAATGTGAATTGGTGATTCATGTTATTACTGTTGGAACAGATGGGCTTTGCTAGAAAATTTATTCAAGCAATAGAAGCTATATATCATAAGCAAATGGCAAAGGTAATGATAGAGGGAGAACTGACAGGCTCTATTGATATAAGAAAAGGAACAAGACAAGGGTGCCCACTATCACCTTTGTTGTTTGTGTTAACTTTGGAAGTGCTAAACAGAAATATTAGAGATGAAAAGAATATAAAAGGAATGGAAATCAAAAAGGAAGAATTTAAGCTGCAAGCATTTGCAGATGATCTGGTTTTCATTTTAGAAGACCCTCTAGAAACAGCACCAAAATTGATAGAAAAAATAGAGACATATGGAAAGGTGGCTGGTTTGAAAATAAATAAAGATAAGACAAAGATCTTGACAAAGAATATGCTATTAAGACAAAAGGAAGAATTGGCAGACCTATTGAAAATTCAGGTCACGAATAAGATCAAGTACTTGGGGATATATTTGACAGCAAGATGTAGTACACTAAAAGAGAATAATTATATCAAACTTAAACAGCAGATAGCGCTAGATCTGGCGAAATGGGAAAATTTACAACTGTCACTAATAGGGAGAATTTCAACAATCAAGATGAATATATTACCCAGAATTTTATATTTGTTTCAAACAATTCCAATTAGGCTTGGAAAAGATTATTTTGAAGATTTAAATAAAATTGTGTTGAAATATATATGGCAAGGTAAGAAAGCGAGAATAAAGTTAAAACTTTTGCAAGATGCTAGAATTAGAGGAGGATTTGGTTTGCCTAATTGGGAGTTGTATTATCAAGCTACAAATCTGATGTGGGTTAAGGAATGGAAAACACTAAGAAATACTAGATTGTTGACATTAGAAGGACATGATTTGTTGTTAGGGTGGCATGCTTTTTTATGGTATAAAGGAACTAAAACACAGGGGTATTTTAGAAGACATTATATACGGGAGACTCTGTGGTTAAACTGGGAGAAGATTAAAAGGCAATGTTGTTTGAAAATTCCAGTCTGACTATCGACTATTGAAATATTTTCTTATCCTATAATGTACAAAAAGGAACAAATAGTTAGATATGGTGAAATATTGAATGAAAAGGATGAACTCAAATCTATACAAAAACTAGAGGAACAAGGTATAAAGATGAATTGGTTTTCATTTGCGCAAATACACTCAAGGTATGATAAAGATTCTAAAATGGAAGGTTTCTATGATAAATTGACTGATTTAGATAAGATTTTGACAGGTACTGATGAAAAGGTGATTAAAAAATTGTATGGATATTTATTAGAAATTAAATTAGAAGACGAACAAGTTAAAGAAACTTTGATTGCTTGGGGGAAGAATTTTGGATATGGGATTGATTTAGAGAAATGGCAAAAATTGTGGTCTCAAAATTATAAAATGACAATGTCAACAGCATATAAAGAAAATTTGTATAAGATGTTTTACAGGTGGCATTTTCCCCCTACAAGAATAGCAAGAATGTTCAAGAATAAATCTGAAAAATGTTGGAAATGTCATCAGACACCTGGCTCATATTACCATATGTGGTGGACTTGTGCGGATGCTAAAAAATACTGGACTAAAATCCACATGTGGTTGGAAAAAATGACAAAAAAACATATAGACTTGAAACCAGAGATATTTTTATTGGGAATTTTACCTGAAATATATAGTAGATATTTGAAATATCTGATTGTAAATGTATTAACAGCAGCTAGGATTGTATTTGCCAAAAACTGGAAAAAGGAGAAAACACCATCACAGGAGGAAATCATTAAGAAAATATTGGAATGTGCTGAAATGAGTAGATTGACATTTGAAATTAGAGAACAAGAGGATAAACAATTTTATAAAATTTGGGATCTATTCTATCAATGGTTAGACAATAAAATACCGTAATGAAATATGTAGACTTTTAGAAAATAATAAATATATAAAGATGTACTTCTTTCTTACTATATCTACAAAATGATTTTAGGATATATTTGGGATGATAATATGAACTGTTATAAAACAAACTAAGTAAATTATGATTATCTTGTAAAACATGAATGAATAAAAGTATAGTCAAATGATTAATAATGATACTAAGGTATTTAATTTTTGATTGAAAATATGAGATTATATGCAATGTAATTGTAATTGAAGACTACGAAATGGAAGTACAAAACAATTTGTAAACCAACCGGCACACTGTATGTATACATATGGAAGATGGCTTGATGTTTTTATGTTTTGTTTGTTTATGTTTGTTTTTAAAAACTTTAAAAAAATATTAATTTGTTTCCCTTGCTTCTTTCATTTAAAGAATATACAGTGGAGTGGAATTGGAAACTGAATCAATGCTGTAAATTCATCAATCAGAAGTGTCTAACCGTGGACTTCAACTCCCAGAATCCAGACTTGTGGACTTCAACTTCCTGATTTTTTCAGGTAGCCATGCTTGTGAACTTCCCCATGCTGGCTGGAGAATTCTGGGAATTGAAGTCCACAAGTCTTAAAATTGCCAAGGTTGGATATCTCTGTCCTAAACAGTTTGTTTTTCTTCAAAAAGAAATGGCTGTGAACAAGAAAGGATAGTTGGAGCAAAATATCAGCACTTACCAGTATTCCCTTGAATATCTTTTCCCTTTTTGAATCCAGTTGGTGTAAATGAATGTTTAGAGCACTGGCTCACCTGATTAGACAGCTGTTGTGGAGAGGCATTATTGAAGATGATGCCCCAGTTTATGTGACTAATATCAGAATGTGACCTGTTATGACCTGGCTTGAAAGAGGAAGTTTCCTCATTTTGGACTATAACATCATTCACAGAACGGGGCCGATCCTTCCTCCTCTGGCAGATGTTAAAGATATTAAAAGTTGAAGCAGTTCCTTGATCAACCCAGGAGAGATTATCTGGAACCATTCCCCTTTGCACTCTAAACTGTTCTTTGGCAGGAAATGCAGTTTCTACTTTGGTTTCTGAACTTCCATTTTTGCAGTGTGCCCAAACAAGGTTATTCTTCCCTAAAGAAGCAATGTTCCTTAAATCTCCACAGACTGTGATTTTATTAAATGCGTCACATCCAACCAGTTCCGGAATCTCTTGAACACCATAAACTTCCAGTGGCTGCACATTTTCCAGCTTAGCATCAAAGGTACTGAAGAAGTCTTCAGTCACCTCCAAGGCTGGACTGATGTCATCAACTTCTAAGGCCTCCATTTTATTTGTAGTCAAAAAACCTATAGCTTTGGGAGTATTTTAATAAGACAAAGACGTATCTTTGGAAAGATTCTTGCAGGTATTTCTCTTAAGCTGCTGGTAACAGAATCAATATATTTTTCATTGCCATGGGCATTTGACTTCAGGAGCTTGAAACAACTTTTATTTGTAAATGTTGTTATGCATAATAGTTGTCATCAGCTTTATCTTCCTGAATGAAGAAGTATTGGTGGTTCAGCAAGAATTCTGTACAGGAACTGGATTTTTCTGTAAAACATGATAAAATACTCTTAAGTAACCTTAATTACAATAGATTCACATGGCCTATCAGGAAGTACCTATAAACAGTAGAAAGTGAAGGGGCATAACTTAAGTGTAATTATTGAAATGAAATTACAAGTTTCTGGCTCCTTTTGGCCCACTTATCTCAGGCTCTATTCAGCAATCTCAAAACAACCCTAGAAGACTCTTCTCCCATAGGTTTAGTACAATAAAATGTTATCTGAGGCCCTCAAATGATTGCATCTTTGGGAGTTACTTGGCTAGCAACTGGATAGAGGGGGGTGGCTATGTGACAATTCCATTTATTTATACACACAAAAATTTGTAAACTGCCTTCGTGTTACTCAAGGTGATTACAAAAATGTAATATATAGACAACACTTGCCTGGTGTTTTAACCTTTTTTTAGGCATTACCCAGCAACTTTAAATAAATGTTATTCCCGATGACTGGCTTTCTGAGCAGAGTTCTTCTACATCAATGCCTATGTAAGGTAATTGTTGTTTGTTGAGTTTAATTATACCAATACAATTTAAGTATTAATTTAATGCTATCTGTGTTTATTGCATGCCATCTCATATTGTACATTGCAAGTTTATATTTAAAGTACAGAAGAGTAACTATCTAGTTCCTTATTTCAAAAGAACATCTGGGAAGTTCCAAGAATGGGAGTAATGACACACATGACTCTTGGTTTTGTTCACTGTCAGACCCAAAGACAGGTGCATGTAGTGTAAAACTTTCTTGAGTTGAACAGTTTTCCACTGTCACTAAGAACAATAAGCAGGCCTGAGTAAATAAAGCAAGGTCAGGCTAATCAAGGGTTCAGCTAGGAAGAGTTCATTGACAGAGATCAAAGGCCAGCAAGTTTGCATGTTCCTAATATCTGCCTGAAAATGTCAGAATTATTTGTGCAGTTACTAGAAGATAAATTATGTATGGATGCACATCATAAAATACAACAACATTCTGTTAGCATAGCAGTTAGAGGAATGGCAGTGCATATTAGTCACTTATGCATAATAATAACATAACTTATAACTAATTCACTAAGGGGAAAAATTAAGTTAAACATTTTATATAAAGAAGGGAAATTGATAAGACAAATGTGTCCACCATGCTTTTTGGTGCCTAAGATACATTCTTCAAGGATCTTAAAGAATGCCTAGGCCTCTCCTATCTGAAAACAGAAAAATATTTTTCCCATATTTGTTTTAATTTTAATGTTTTTTCCTCTTGAGTTTCTTATTATTTCCAAAACGATTACCACTCTGTATACTCCTTTTGCTAGTCCTTTACTACAGCATTAGTTATTTATGAACATTTTACATTGCTCCCTATTGATTTCTATATATTTTATTTGTATAATAGCATTATTTAATGTGTGCACAGTGTGCATTTGTTGTTTCTGCTATTCATTGTCTTTTAGGAAAAGATTGAGATTTTGAAATAAAGTATAAGTGTACCATATTTCTTTCTTTTTCATCATCGTGGTTGGATGTATGACTTTTTCATTACTTCTATAATTTAAACAAGCAATTTATCAAGTTAAATACTGCATATTTTAATATATTCCAAAAAAATATTTAATTTATTCGACTGACTAGTATCCTTACAATACTTTCTCATACATATCACAGAATTAGGTCCACTGAATTTGTAATAACTTATTCCAAAGATAATTTGTAGGATGACAAAATTATGTTATTTTTATTTTAAACCATGAACGTTGATCAAAAATTACAGTTAAAATACACAGTTCAGTTGCCATCTGTAAGGCTGTGATGAGAAGGTATGATTCACAATCATTACACACTAGCAAAATTATTTCCACTAAGCAGCTATAATACAGTAAAGGGTAATTTTGCCTTTTGTGTCCTCCCCAAAAGATAAATTAAAATACATAAATGCTTAGTTATGATCTGCTAATAAAATGTTTTTCATCACAACAATAGAAATGAGAGGGACTCGTTTCCTTGATACAAATCTGTATTTCATCCTTATGTACAGACTGGTAAATGGAAGATTCCCCTTAGTGAATTAGTTATAAGCCATTTTCTCTGCAGGACAACAGATTATCTACTCTATATACTAATGTTCCAAATGCAACACTATTGGTTTTATCTCCCTGTAAGAATAATAATAATACTTGCTCTCTTACAACAAAAAAGAAGTTCATTTTCTACGTATTTGGCAAGGACAGGTTTACGTTTCTCTGAACTGAAAAGTTGAATATAATTTCTTACGAGAGAAAAATAAGAATCAAGACTTCCAATGCTTAAAAAGAAACATCTAATCCAACTATTTATTCCTCAAAAGTTCCAGTTTCAACTCAGTTAACTGTCCAGTCCCCCCCCCCCCGCACCCGCATCCACCCCTCCCAATTTTCAATTTCTTATGACTTACTATCCTTGTCAATCCCTGCTGGCTCACAGATGAAACTAGTAAGAGGCATCTTTTCAAACTCCAATCACAGCAACCAAAGCTAGAGTTTTGGCATTTATCTAAAATAGATCCAACCAATAAACATGGCAAGCCAGACTTTAATCTTGAAAACAAACCTGATCTTATTTAAAGTAATGAAGAATGATCCAAACAAAAAGAATTGATGTGCTCTATGTCCTTTCATCATTTTCCACAGTGAATTTATCTTACAAATACATAATAATGCAGTAGCATTTAAGCATTTCTTAAATACTTAAAACAGTTCTTGGCAAACTGTTCTCAGTATCAATGAATCCACACAACTCATCTTCCCATGATCAACTGTATCCACATAACAAAGCAACACATATACCTCTCTTGTTGGCAGGAACTTCATGTGATTAACAGCCTTCACAACTTCCTGCTTGTTTCCCACTAATTTCCACTACGCAGCTAATCAAATGACATAAAATTATATAAAGTAGAAATTTAACATACAGGTGGGTATGCCAAGCAAGCCATCAACTCACTAAGGAAATTATTGTGCTGTACTGATATTTTTAGAACAATCTAGTTTTATTATTTATTTATTTTGTCAAGCATGTATTAGATAACAGATAAAAGTATAAACATGATTATTAATACATGAAATGGGTAAGCATAAAAGGGAACATTAGGACAGGGACGGTAGGCACGTTGGTGCGATTATGCGCACCCTTAAAGACCTCTTAGGAATGGGGTGAGGTCAACAGTAGACAGTCTAAGGTTAAAGTTTTTGGGGTTTTGTGAAGAAACCACAGAGTCAGGTAGAGTATTCCAGGCATTGACCACTCTGTTGCTGAAGTCGTATTCCCTGCAATTGAGTTTGGTGTGCTTTACCTTGAGTTTGTATCTATTGTGTGCTCATGTATTGAAGTTGAAGTAGTCATTGACAGGTAGGACATTGCAATGGATAATTTTATGTACTACGCTTAGGTCAGACCAAAATCGGCATAGTTCTAAGTTGTCTAAGCCTGAAATTTCAAATCTGGTGGCATAAGGTATTCTGTTATGAGTAGAGGAGTGGCAGACACTTCTCGTGAAATATCTCTGGACTCCCTCGATTGTACTAATGTCCAATATGCAATGTGGGTTCCAGACAGATGAGCTGTATTTGAGAATTGGTCTAGCAAATGTTTTGTATGCTCTAGTTAGTAGTACAATATTACCAGAGAAAAAACTACGCAGGATTAGGTTTACAACTCTTAATGCCTTTTTGGCGATGTTGTTACAGTGGGCTCTAGCACTTAAATCAATAGAGATGAGTACTCCAAGGTCCTTGACAGAGTGGGGGTTATCTACAAAGCCATGTCCATTCAGCTTGTATTTTATTTTTGGATTATTATTTTTTTGCCAATATGTAAGACAGAGCATTTGTTTGTTGAGATTTGAAGTTGCCATTTGTTTGACCATTCTGACACATAGTCAAGGTCTTTTTGAAGGGTAGTAGTATTGTCGGTGGTGTTGAAAAGTTTTACATTATCAGCAAAAAGAACACAGTTGCTTTTAATATGATCAAAAAGGTCATTTATATAAAATATAAAGAGTTGGTCCTAGAATGCTGCCTTGGGGGACACCGCTGCTGACAGGTATGAGATTTGATAGGGCTCTCCCTATTTTGACCATTTTTTGCCTGTTTGACAGGAATGCAGCTATCCAATTATGCAGGTGTCTGGAGATGCCATAAGATTTTAATTTTAATTTTAGAAGTAGTTTGTCATGTACCACTGAATCAAAGACTTTACAGAAGTCTATGTAAATAGCATCTATTGCTTTGCCCTGGTTGAGTTATGTAGTCCATATGTTTTTACAGTGTAGGAGTTGCAGTTTATCAAGTAGATTGATTCAGACAACCTAGCAAAAGCAAGGAAACTCACCAAAACACGAAAAATAGCAAGCCACAATTTGTGTATTCCTCCTATATCTAATTTTTTGGCTAAACAAAGGAAACTGTTTAGGATCAAGGCTAAGCAATCACATTGCTATTGATGTTGTACAATATTCTCAGTCTGCTGCAATGCTAGTATAGTTCTGTGGCAGAACAAATACGAAGTACAAATCCACCATATTCAACTTCTGAAATGCTCCATGCAATTTTTATGATTTGAGGCTGAGCAGTTGCTACTGTTTTCCTTGGGGGTTCCTCTATTTGGCATTTGATGTTGTTTTTCCTGCTGAATTTCTGGCTGCACCATTATGACTGTATATGAAATAAGGATCCCTTGATGTCTATTTGCTTCCATTTCAACGTCCATTATGGGCAAATCTGCCCATACATGCTGCATTCAATAAAGTATTAGTTTCTATGAATAGATTCTTAGGAATCTGCATGCTATGAGCACTGTTACCCTATGACAATCTTTTCCCCTTCAACAGAAAAGAATGAACTTCTGAAAGCTAGGTACTTCAAAAGGAATTCTTTATTGAAAGGAAGTGACCCCAGTACTAGTCAAAGCAGAATCTAAGATGTTCCCAGGCATACAGTAATAGATAAAGGGAGTTAGAACCCCTCCCCTTATTCTGATGTGGATTTAGTCAAACAAAGAACCAACATGTTAATTCCCCCCTCCCCTTTTCTGGGAAGAGTTTCCCAGAGAGTATCCTCCAGAGCTGGAATTTTTTATGGTCCCTTCTCCTCTTGCCATCTCTCCAAGAGGTGACAAGTTTCTAGACATCTGGCTCCAGTCCTCCAATTGTATATCACGTGCAAGTTATACAGATTCAATATAAGATTTAAGATATTCATGTTACATAAAAAAGGATTACTTGTACCAACTCCCCCCCTTCTTCTTCCACTGAAGAAGGGCAGATACTTGGATCTGACATATTTAACATAATTTGAAAAAAGTACTGTAAAAGAAAATCAAACAAATGAAAATTATAGTAAAGGCAAAATTTATTAAATGCAGGATCCTGTGCTCCTCTTGTATGGAAATTCATGACATTAAAATATGTATTTCTAATCAATGGGAAGATGTCCCAGAAAACAAGCCTACTAAACGACCAATGAAACCTCTATGCTAAGCACTAGTTAATTAATGGAAGTGTGGCCATTAATCAGGTGAGAGCTGGTTTGATGGGATATTTAAATAAAAAGGGTCAACAACTCAAGTGAGTTATTAGAGACAGATCTACAAAAAAAACAAACCATTCTCTTCTATGACCCTGTAATGCCTTAATTCGGGGTAGAGTCGGGGAAACTGAATGGAGCTCAGTATTTACTGGCTGCTACAGGAAACAGAGACAATCCCAAAGGAAAAGAGCTGAACTCAAGGTTGGCATCAGGAGGCCAATAATAAGCACAAGTAATTTGGGAACAAAGAGCTTCATAAGACATGACTTGCAATCACACACACTGGGAGATAGCCTCCTTTGAACTGCTCCCTTTCTGTTACAGGGGAATTTTTTTTTATTTTTTTAGACTGTGAAAAAATAAAAAAGTTTCTTCTATTTCTCCAACAGCTTTAGAAATAACTCATTACAATCTTCAGGGATCTGTAGGAAGGGGTCCGAGAGGAACTGAGACAGACATTTGTTTAGATCTGAAATGATTTTAAAATTTTAACTAGACACTTTTTTAAAATTCTCTGTTTAAAATCTAGTCTTTTATCTGTAGCGTTCATGTTCCCCAAATAAGTTCAATACTGCTGTGTTTTATGCAACTCTAAACTTCTTAAGCACAGAGTTGCCTTTAAAATAAGAGTAGATCAGCATCAACTTTTGGTTTACCCAGAGCCTTATGCATCCTACAATCTGATCAAATCCATCGTTTTACATCCTTTGCTTAATCAATGTTTGATTGTAACTATCTAAAGTCAAAAATATATTCATATTTTTTGTTCCTTTTTAAAAAAAAAATTATTTTTTGTGAGATTGTCTATTTTCCAAAATGAAGTAGACAGGAATAGATGGGAAGAAGGGTTGCCCTTTAATGTTACTGGGTTAGCAGATGATAATAGAATTCAACTATTCTCTCTTTCTTTTTTAGAATGCCAGAAAGTAATACAGGTTAGGAGTAGGTAAGGTATTTCCTAGAAGACAGAGTGGCAGTGGGAACTACCACACAGGAAGTGGAATTAAGCTTTATAGATGCAAAGGGCTTCTGGAGATAAGGGTTTTAGATCTCCATGCATTCACTGTACAGACTTTGTCCTGTTATTACACACATTTTCAAACAGCTCATGGTTTCTTCAGTGTTCATAACATAAGAGTATATACACAAATAAAATATTTAATATCTCAATTATGTGTACAGTACTCTCCTAAATGTTCAAAGTAGCTTTCAGAAATACAATGAAAAAACAGAAATATATCAAAACCAATCTAAAAAAACAGTACAATACTCTTATATCTGTGCGCATGTTTTTCTCTCATGGAGGAAAATCTGAAGCATAGCATCCACTCAGCAGAAATAAAAGCAAGTCATATAATAATGGGAACAGATGCTCCCAGAGATGAAGTCATTAAGCCAGAGGAAGGATGAGAGGTCTGTGAGCTATGTCTCAATTGATTCCAGTAACTGAAACAGGAAGAAAGGACAATAACTGTAAAAGATACATGTGGCAATAAAAACTAACAGACCAAGTAATTACAAAAGTTGTTGAAATACTTCCTTTGGGCTGATGAAAACATGCCTCTCTCTATATTTTAGATAGAATTAATTATCACTAGCTGATTTCACATTGTTATATTATTTAATTTTATTGAATACATTATGATAATTGTTTACAAATCATACCAAGTTACAAACAACACAAAGCACAATGTTGGAGTTCATACAACTTAACTCTCCCAAAACTTAACAAATTACTCTGTGGCTTAACAGCATGTGTGAATTCTGTCAACGTGTTTCATGTTGTTTAATTCTGATCTCCAGGCAATTCATAGCAATATAGATTCAACTAATAATTATTTCAGATTTTATGATCATGCACACAAGGATATAGAAAGATAATTTCCAAATCAATTTTAAAGCTAGACAGGCAAAACTGTAATAATTCTTTTTTGATAGAGTGGGCTGCATGCAGACCAGGAGACTTAGTCAGAATATTTGTGTTCACTTTTATTTACCTGGAATATCACCCTCCCTTCACTTCCTCATACTGAACAGAACAACAGGCTTGAGAGTGGGTGTTGCATACAATATTTCCTTGTAAACATATATTTAATAGTTACTAGTTATAAAAATATTTTACAATTCTGCCATCTGATTCATTATTTAAATTTCTCTGCCCCAACCCAAAGAAGGAGTTTATGCCCATGTTTACTTGAAACAGTACTGCTAAATGTGGAACTGATCTGTAAACTAGAAAGATCTGGGTTCATATTCCAGCATTCTAACCAGGACCCTATTGGATGCTTCTGCCGTAATCAGTACCTCCAGAATTAGTCTACAAGGAATAGAGGCATATATTAAAATCTAGTCCATACCTTGGGCTACTTGGAAGAACTATTGGCTGCAAATTGTGAAAGAAAACATAAAAGCAACAAAATCACCTAATAAAAGGAACTTCCAACATGGACTGTATGCAAATTATTAACTGCAGGTATTTCAACATAAAAGCAAACATTAGCTTTGTGCTTCTTATGTTGTTGCCTTGATTCTTTTGGTAAACTGTCTTAGGTGAAACCATACCTTTAGTAAACCGAGTTTATTTATTTATTTATTTATTTATTTGATTTGCCAATTGTTTACAAGATAATAAGCATAAGTGTATACATAGTTGTGAATACATGAAATGGGTACATATAAGAAAAATAAAAGAATAAGAGAAACAATAGGACAGGGACGGTAGGCACGATGGTGCGCTTATGCACGCCCCCAAGTTATTCTTGTCCTATTTACAGTAGCAAAAAAACAAACACACACATACTTTTATTCACGAAGGCGAAGAACCAGCTTGCTGTTATAGAGCCTTATGTGATTCAAAATCAAAGAGATTTTTTTAATGAAATCCAGAATAAGGACATTTATTGGGAAAAACTATACCCATACAATACTGATAATGAGTCCTTCGGACACACCGAAGGTTGTCATGCTCACATTCTCAGACATGCTTTTATTTGCAGAGCATATGCAGTTAGGCGCAAGGCAGGAGTTTATGAATAGAGGCACCTTTACCTGGCTCCCCAAAGGTCCGCGCTGCAAAATCCGGCGGATTTCCTCCCCAGATCTCATTTCTCGCCTTGGCTCAATGACAGGGAAGAGGCGCCGGGGTATTATTCAGCGTTCTCTCGCTTGCTTATTTACGCTCGCTCCCTGTGCTCCCTTCAAAGGGATCCCCGTGGTAACAAGGGAAACGGAAGTCAGGAGGAAAGTTCCGGAGGCGCCCGCCCACTTTCCCTGCGGAAGCGGTGCGCGGGAACCGCCTGCCACGCGGGACCCTGTGATGGGGGGTATCATCAATTTGACGAAGGTTTGAGAGCGAGCAACGCCTACCTCTCTCGTATTTTCAGACCTGTGAGAATGGTATACCTGCACGTTGACTCCTCCTGTAATTAAAAGGAGGGGCTGCAGAAATCTGCAGGACCAGAGAGCGAAAACTCATCCCGGCTGTTCGATGGTAGGGGCCGGAGTTGTGCATCAATGGAGATCCTGTAAGGACAGTGACATCTAGATATCACCACTAGTGTAATCGAAGAGGAGAAATAGGGGTAGCAGTAATATCTCTGAACATTAGGGAGAACAGGCAGGGGTGTTGATAGCGAATGGCAAATTCACCTCTGCCTGACCGAAAGGTGTGGCCTTAGCTAAAGGGCATAGTTATTGTCCGGGTGTAATGAATGCCATACAGTCTTTAGGAAAAAAAAAACATAGAATATGAAGCTCTGTACAGATGCATGCTTTCTTTACAAGAGTTGTTTTGTAGCCATGCCAGTAAGAGTAATTTCCGTTAGAGTTGGGTGAGAAGAATCCTAACACCAGAAGTGACGTTTTAATTCAAAGCATGGATGCTCCGCTACATACACAAAAGTGGGAGTTATGGTTCTTTTTCCTTATGTTTTCTCTCCCTACTGCCACACTTCCACCTATATGTTCAAAACATATATAAGAATAATGTCAACAAATAAAGCTTTCATCACTTTCTTCCATAATTTTTATTTTATTATTTGTCAAGCATGTACAAGATAACAGGTATAGGTATGAACAGAAACATGAGCAAAGGAAGTAAATACAGATAAATGGGGACAGTAAGATAGGGACGGTAGGCACGCTGCTGCGCTTATGAACACCCCCTTTACAGACTTCTTAGGAATGAGGTAAGGTCGAAGGTAGACAGTTTGAGATTGAAGCTGTGAGGGTTTGAGCCTGTAACAACAGAGTCGAGTAGAGCATTCCAGGCACTGACCACTCTTGCTGAAATTGTATTTTCTGTAATCGAGTTTGAAGCGGTTTAGCTTGAGTTTGTATAAGATTGTTTACCTGTGTATTATTGTAGGTGAAGCGGAAGAAGTCATTGACAGGCAAGACGTTGCAGCAGACAATTTTGTGTACTATACTTAGATCGGACTGCAGGCAGCGCAGTTCCAGATTGTCCAAGCCCAAAATTTCAAGTGTGGAGGCATAGGGAATTCTATTGTGAGTAGAGGAGTGGAGTACTCTTCTCCTGAAATACCTCTGAACCCACTCAATTGTGTTAATGTCCGATATACAGTGTAGATTGCAGGTAGACGAACTGTATTGGAGAATTGGTCTGGCAAAGGTTTTGTATGCACTAGTTAATAATTCAGTGTTACTGGAGAAGAAACTTTGCAACTTAACAACTCTTAATGCTTTTTTGGCAATGCTGTTACAGTGAACTCTGGGGCTTAGATCCTTTGAGATGAGGACTCCTAGGTCCTTGACAGAGTGAGGGTTGCCTGTGAGATGGTTTCCGCCCAACTTGTATCTAAAACTGGGGGAACGCATGGAGGAGTCACGTGGAGGAGGAGGAGCGTTCCTCAATTATAGCTCAGCCTGTTAGAGTGAAGACTAGAGCACCTCCCACTATCTGGATGCTCGCAGCAGCTCAACGGAGAATGGCCACCTGGCGCTTCCCTCAGGTGCCCAAGCCCGGCGAGCAGCTCATCCAAGAACCGGGGGAGGGGAGGCAGGCTTTGGTTGCTTGTTCTGCTGCGACCCCAAATTCTTGGCTGCAGCTCATGAGCACTCTGTCCTCCAGGGGATCCAAAGTGGCCAAACGCCACCTTCCACTGGCCCTGCATCCCTGGACGGAGCTCCAGGCAGAAAGGCTTGCTTTAGCTCTAGGCTGGAGCAGGGAGGAGGGAAACCACGTGACCAGAGGCCTTGCTGCAGTCTGCAAAAAAATCTTTGGCGCCACTGGCATAACGGGCCTACCCTGGCGCAAGCCCTGGAGGCGGATGAGGCAGAGGAGGGGGCATCGGCGTCGAGGGGAACAAATGGGGGACCTGTGAAGGGGCTGCGAAAGAACGTGCTCAGGACATGACTGCTTCCCCGGAAAAAGCAGCGCAACTGCTGACAATGGGGGGGGGTGAGTACCAAAGGAGCAGCTCCTCACATTGCGGCTGCTAGTATTAAAAAGAGTAGAAAAGGGAGCTGCTATGTATTGTTTAATGAACTTCCAAATTGGCAAAAGGACTGTTAAATTGGCCACACCCACCTAGTCACATGACCACCTAGCCACACCCACCCAGTTACATGGTCACATAGCCGTGTCCACCCAGGCATATGACCACATAGCCATGCCCACCAAGTGAAGCCCACAGAACCGGTAGTAAAAAAATTTGAATCCCACCACTGGACAGGATGACACCAACAAATCCGATGACTTCACAAAGATTCGCGACATCATCAACAACTTCCAGGCATCAACCATCATTCCTGATGAAATTGACAATTCCCGCAACAGCCCTGAGTTCAAGAACAGCAATGGCTTGGTGGCCCCATGCTTCTGCAGTCATTTGCAAGAGCAAAACTAGCAAACGCAAATTTATCTCCACAATAAACTCACTTGCCAAAAGCTGCACAAATCATAAGAAACTTTATTCACAGCCCAACCTGTTCATACTACGTGCCCGCGAGCTCCACTAGGAATTCAAAAGTCACCAAGACCAAGTAGAAACTGACCTGTACATAGACTACCACACTGACTGTATCAAACGCATGACCAGTGGCCTGCGTCCCAACAACCCCCCCCCCCCAACAACCTAAACTAGGCATGCATGCCCCCAACTTCCTCCAGGTCCACCCCTACAGGCCTAAAACGCAAGCTACAAAAAGCCTCGCAAACAAAATGCCCAAATTCCTCCTGCTTCTAAATGTGGCCCTATTGGATCTTATTTTTGTCTGTGAGACACGGCTGAATGTATCCTTTCCAGACTCCCTTATTACAGTAAGTGACTAGCATGTTTTCCGGTCTGACCGTGAAAACTGTAGAGGTGATGGTGTTACTATCTTCTATAAAAAGTCCCTAAGTCTGAAAAAGATTAATTTCAGCTTGCTCTTCCTGACAGCATTGTCTGCGAACTGTCCTTAAATACTACAGTTCGTTTCTTGCTATGTTATAGACCCCCTGATTATGACCTTGGTCATACAAACAAGTTAACTGCATTACTATGGTGGGCAGCTTCCTGCCCGCATCCCTTCATCTTTCTTGGTGATCTCAATTTTCCTCTTATTATTTGGATCCTAAACGAATGTACAACAGAACCTATACATGCAACCCTGTACATTGCTGTTATGACTCTGGGGCTGGAGCAGTTGGTAACAAACAATACTAGGCTCAACAATTGCTTAGATCTCATCTTCTGCAATAGCTTAAACTCAATTTATGGCCTACAAGTTAAGAATTTTTTCCAACAGTGATCACAGCATGATTGATTTTTGTCTCAATTTGTGTCCTTGCAAAGAGGGTCATAATGATGGGACTCCAAATTATAATTTTAAAAAAGCCAACCATAGCTGCCGACCTCGCATCTCTTGATTGGCACCTTTTGTTCACAGGTCATAATACTGCAGAAGACCATTATAACACTTTTTTGCTCCAAGTCAATAGAGTCATTAACCTATAAGCACCAAAAATAACCTCTAAAGTTAAAAAAAAAATACCTGTAACAATAAGAAAGTTACAATCCAAAAGAAAAGTCTCTTTGGCAAGAAAACAAAACTGACTACGTAGCTAACTTTAAAAACCGCTACAAAGCCTTATGCCGCCAGATAAAGGCACAATGTACCAATTACCATTGCAAAGAGGAGGAGTTGTTAAATTCGAAATTCACCCGAGCCTTCTATAATTTCGTAAACACCAAACTTCAAGACTTGAAAACTATCCTACCCCTAAAAGGGCCTAACGGGGAAGACTGTAACAGTGAAGCTGTTAAGGCCAACCTCTTCAATACGTTCTTCAGTTTAGTCATAAGCCCGACTTATGGTCACTAGCCATGGTCATACCTATCTTTAAAAAGGGAGACCCTAGTCTAGTAGAAAATTATAGACCAATCTCACTGTGTTGTGTCACCTGTAAGGTCATGGAATCAATTATAAACTAATCCATCACCCTCCACTTAGAAACAAATAACCTGCTTTCTAACAAGCAGTTTGGTTTCAGAAAAAAATTATCCTGTAATCTGCAACTCCTACACCTGCAGAAACATTTGGACCACACACCTTGACCAGGGAAAAGCAATAGATGCAATTTACATAGACCTTTATAAAGCCTTTGATTTAGCGCTGCATGACAAACTACTGTTGAAACTAAGGTCTTACAGCATCTCCGGATTCCTGTACAGTGTCCTGTCAAACAGGCAACAAATAATCAAAATAGGGAGGGCCCTATCAAATACAGCACCAGTTAACAGCGGTGTCCCCCAAGGCAGCATTTTAGGTCCCACACTCTTTCTGCTTTACATCAACAACCTATGCGACAATATTAAAAGCAGTTGCATCCTCTTCGCTGGTGATGTAAAATTATTTAACACCACTGACAATGCTGCTGCCCTACAAAGCGACCTTGACTATGTGTCAGAATGGTCGTGTAATTGGCAACTCCAAATCTCAACTAATAAATGCTCTGTCCTACACATTGGCAATAAAAATCAGCCTCGCAGAGACAGGCAGCTTTAGCACTTCGCTCCTTGGCCGAATTGGGATTTCTCATTAATATTGTTCAGGTTTGAATTTTTCCTTGTTTCCTCCAGTCCCTGCGCATTTGGATTGTCTTGGATATAGAAGGGGTCGTTTATTTTTGCCCCTCAGGGGGAGATTGGGGGGTTTAGGGCCCTTTCGCCCCCCCCACCCCCCTCACTCTGGT